AAACACAAGTGGAAATCCCTGTTGCTTTCCCCCGCCCCATTAATCTTCCACTCTGCATGTAGTTTCTTCCACATTTACCTGGAGGCTGAGCCTCCCACTCTCAGTACCCATCTCCACTGAGCCATCTTCCTATATCCACCTAAGGAGGGCTGTCACAGACCCATCACCAAATTCTCATCGTGAGCAATTCTATTTCTTGGCTACACTGGCTAGTGGCTCCTGCTGATAGCAAGGAATGAGGTACATTCATCATTGCAGCTATATCACATAGCAGATCTTCAAATGGTTGTTGAATTATTTAATAAGAAATTATACTTCTGAATCTAACCTCAAGTGCTGGGAGGACCTTTTTTGGCCTTAGTTCTTATTTACAAGACTTAAAAAATAAGTCATAAGTGGCTCATGCCTATAACCACAGCACTTTGGGAGACCAAGGTAGGAGGATTACTTGAGCCCAGGAGTTCCAGATCAGCCAGAGAAACATGGCAAAACCATGTCTCTACAAAAAATACAAAAACCTGCCAGGTGTGGTGTTGCATGCCTGTAGTCCCAGGTCCTTGAGGGGCTGAGGTGAGAGGATCAACTGAGTCTGGGGAGGCTGAGGCTGCGGCTGCAGTGAGCCATGATTGTGCACTCCAGCCTGGGCAAAAGAGTGAGAGACTGTCTCAAAAAAAAAAAAAAAAAAAAGAAAAGAAAAGAAAGGAAAAAAATCACAGTGGAAACAAAAGCATCTCCCACAAAATATACAAGGATTCCTTTGCTAAAATAATGACAACTGAGTTAAAAAGTCAGTTTTAGGTGTGGGGACATAAAGTATGGAATATTTCTAATCTGTATTAGTCAGTACCCAGAAGAGTCTCAAAGTAGGCAGACAGTTGGAAAAAGATTTCCCCCATGAGTGGGTATAGTGGCAATGAATGAAATTACCCAAGAAAACGAAGCGATCCTAGAACCCATTCCACTCACCGAGAACTGTTAAACTCAATGTCTGCTCCAAAGACTCAAAAGTTAGACACAAACTCCCAAGAAAATAAAGCAATCTCCAAGCCAGCCTTGCTTGTCAGTCCCTTGTTTTTTCAATGCCTTTTAAAGTGTCACATACAGAGTAAGAAAACTCTATCCTTCGATGGGCGCGGTGACTCACGCCTGTAATCCCAGCACTCTGGGAGACTGAGGTAGGTGGATTATCTGAGGTTCGGCGTTCGAGACCAGCCTGACCAACATGGAGAAACCCCGTCTCTACTAACAAAAAAAAAAAAAAAAAAAAAAATTAGCCAGGCATGGTGGCACATGCCTGTAATCCCAGCTACCCGGGAGGTTGACAAGAGAATCGCTTGAACCCGGGAGACAGAAGTTGCAGTGAGCTGAGATCATGCCACTGCACTCCAGACTGGGCAACAAGAGCAAAAACTCCATCTCAAAAAAAAAAAAAAAAAGAGAAAGAAAACACTATCCTTCAAATCTTTCTTTTTTTTGAGACAAGGTCTCACTTTGTCACCCACGCCAAAATGCAGTGGCATGATCTCAGCTCACTGCAGCTCTGACTTCCTAGGTTCAAGCAATCCTCCCACCTCAGCCCTCTAAGCAGCTGCAACTACAGGCTAATTTTTATATTTTTTGTAGAGACGGGGTTTCGCCACATTGCAAAAGGCTGGTCTCAAACTCCTGAGCTCAAGTGCTAGGATTACAGGTATGAGCCACCGCACCCCGCCAAGATCTCTTGATGCTCTATGAAATCTCACAATCTGACAGAACGATGCTCCAGAAAAGCTTTCTTCGTGCAGAAGGCCTTGGAGGAGGGCACTTTTTATGTGTACCGACTCAATTCCACAAGCAAATCTCAGCAGCATCAGACACCACCTGGTGGAGTACAGGGACCCTATACTGGAATCAAAGTTCTTCCTCCATTTAATATATTCCTCTAAAAAAATTCATTAAAACACTATTTCCCAAAGGAAGTTCCTTAGAAAACTAATGCTAGTAGGTTTCCTCATCAATTGAGTTTAGGAATTTCCAAAGGTGATAGAAGGGAGTGTAAACAATATCTTTAGTTAATACTTTAGTGTATTTCCAACATGACATTTAGATACCATGTGAATTTCAATTTGATCTCTACAAAAAAAATTTTTCTTTTAACTTGGTGGTGTGGTGGTGCATACTTATGCTTCAAGCTACTCAGAAGGCTGAGGCAGAAGGATTGCTTGAGCCTAGAGGTTCAAGGTTACAGTGAGCACCACTGCGTTCCAGCCTGGGCAACAAAGTAAGACCCTGTCTCTGCAAAAAAAAAAAAAAAAAAAAAAGAATAAACCAGGCAGGGGAATTCCTACTCTATGGTCTATGGAGCCTGAAGGGCCAGGCACGAGAAGTGGAGAAGGTGGTTAGAGGGGATCCAAAGTGACATTTAAAATCCTGTAGCCAAAATCTTTTTCACGCGTCCTTTACCAGTCATTCATTTACCCTCTTTGCTACAACTATGCTGGAACATAGTAGAGCTGCAGGAGCAACAAGACAAAACCCTGCCATCATGGCACTCAGTAAATATTATCTGAACAAATTAGCTCCTATTCTGGTGGGAGAGATATTCAGTCCATTTGACAGGGTGAAAACCATGCATTACAAACAGAAGCAGGTAGGAGGTTTGGATGTTTTTACAATAGATAAAATACTTATCTGAGCTGCTTTCGGCCAGATGGCTTAGTTTCTAATTAAAGTATAAAGACTATTACTTTACTCACACACAAAGCATTTAACATGATTTGACCTTATAAAACAAGGATTTCTATACTTATCTCCACCCTCCCCAAATTTACAGATAAACAAACTCAAACAGAAAAGTTAAAGATTTTGTTCCAAGTTTACAGACCCCACCGGGGCAGACAAAGAGTAAGGACCACGCATTGCTGGCTGCCAGCCCACTACTTTTCTCCTTAGACTGCACTTTTGTAGATCGGATAAAAAACGGGGTGAGAATTTGCTACAAATCTTCTCTTTTAAAAAAAAATCACTGATTATAGCAGAATATAACAACATTTTACTAGAACACATGTTTACAGCAAATAATAATCATCAGATTTTTAAAAATCAAGCAACCAACTTCAGTATATGACCCCTCTACCAAATTTTCTTTTGGCAATAAAGCAGCCTGTCTGCCAAGATCAAATGTAAAAATCTTCCAAGAGGAACAGGTTTTGCAGTCCTGCAAAAGTAAAGAAGTACAAGAGAGGCGATTTCCTCCAGGCTTTTGAAACATACACAAAGATTGCCAGCCCATAATTAATCACCTAGCACTCTGAAATGATTAAACATTAATAAGAGATATGTAAGATCTACTATAAAAAACTAAAACAAAGGTTTGAATAAATGAATAATCATGCTGTGAACCTAGAAAGGAAAGCTAAATGTTATGAACATGTCAATTATCTTCAAGTCAATTTATGTATTTAACATAATTTCAACAAAATTCCAGCCAAAGGCATGGGTGGACATAAAAGAATATTCCACAAAACATAAGAACTGGAAGAAGTGGAGTCCAGACTTTACCAAGTAATAACAATTTACAAAGCAAGAATTTAGATTATGTTTACTCAGATTAAAATAGATATCTAGACCAAAAGAAAACACAGAAATAGACCCAAACGCATGAAAAGGAATATGATATGTAGTAAAACAGGCATCATCAAGATGAGAGAGAAAGGAAACATTTTATAAATCAGAGGGCAGAAAAATCAACTGCGCTTTATATTTTAAGCCAAAGTAAAGCCAGGGAGCATAAAGTGCTAAATAATTTTTAAGTTTAAAAAAGAAGAAAATAGGCCAGGCGCAGTGGCTCACGCCTGTAATCCCAGCACTTTGGGAGGCCGAGGCGGGTGGATCATGAGCTCAAGAGATGGAGACCACCCTGTCCAACATGGTGAAACCCCATCTCTACTAAAAGTACAAAAAATTAGCCAGGCGTGGTGGTGCATGCCTGTAGTTCCAGCTACTCGGGAGGCTGAGGCAGGAGAATCGCTTGAAACCGGAAAACGGAAGTTGCAGTGAGCCAGGATCGTGCCACTGCACTCCAGCCTGGCGATAGAGCGAGACTCTGTCTCAAAAAAAAAGAAAAAAAAAAAAAAAGAAGGAAATAACAGTCTTCAGATTTTCAGGAAAAAAAAAAAAAAGGCAAGAAAAAACTAACCAGAAGACTGGGCACAGTGGCTCATGCCTGTAATCCCATCACTATGGGAGCGGGCTGGGGTATAGGGGGGAGGGCTGCATCACTTGAGGTCAGGCGTTTGAGACTAGCCTGGCCAGCAGGGGCCAACATGGCAAAAAGCCGTCTCTAGTAAAAATACAAAAATTAGCTGGGCCTTGTGGTGGGCACCTGTAGTCCTAGCTACTTGGGAGGCTGAGGTACAATAATCCCTTAAAACTGGGAGGCAGAGGTTGCAGTGAGCCAAGATCACACTACTGCACTCCAGCCTGCGTGACAGAGCGAGCCTCCATCTCGGGGGGCGGGGGGGGGGGAAGAAAAAAAAAAGAGAGATTACATGAAAATATGAAAGCGCTATATAAATAACGATAAAATTTAAAAAGCTAACATAATAATGGACAAAAATCTTGCAAGAGTTCCTGTTCACAGCATGTAAAAGGTAGGTCTAGGTAAAATGACAGATCAGCACAAAGAAGGACACAAATAACCTAGATAAAAGGAAACAGTTAAAACAAGAGAAATCAGTTATTGTTTCAGCGCTGAGGTGGTAAGTGAACTTCCTTTATTTTAATGTGTAAAAATAGCAAATGTTAGACAAGCTGTTAAGTGGGGAATGAAGGACCACAGAATCCGATCTTACAACCCAAGCCTTGAATGTTGAAGGGGAGAAATAAGCTCTCCTCACAGCACACCCTATAGGCCTGTGACACTTCAGACGTGGTACAATGGCAAATTACTTATGCACCGACGGCCAGCTAGCTTCAAAAAACAAATGTAGAACTTGGAAAGTGGCCTGGCTATTTCTAAGACAATTTAAAAAATCATTAAGGCAGGGGAAAGGCATGTGCATTGTAAAAATGCTTGTGGCCTGCTGAACCAAGGCATCTGCTTTCTACCACCACAGTCTAAACATGTCTTCAGTTCAGCTCTCTACAACCAAATGTTACATGTGTCAAATGTTTCTCCAACCTAGATTTGTATATACAATCTAAATGTGACACTGACCTAGAATTGAATTTGAAACTGTATCTTTTTTTTTTTAAGTGTGCACATGTTTCTCCCACCTTTTACTGCACATCGGCTGTTAATAACAAGGAAAATACCATTTGACTTCAGGGTAGAAGAAAGGGAGAAAAACGTCAGACGCCCAAGGCAGTATTCACTTTAGGGAAACATTCATAATGCACATACTATAGAAAACCATCATTTCCGAATGTGTGAATTTCACCACACACCAAGAAAAAAAAAAAGGGGGGGGGGTGAAAAGGATTAATTAGAATTAATCTCGGCTCCTGAAAACTTGGAAATGCAACAGATTTTACAAGATCCTACTAGAATCACAGGATAGGGAAGAGATGTAGAAAAGGTCAATCAGATCACACATTTATTATAAAAATAACTTGCATATAAATTTGTCAAAATTAGTGATTTGACCCAGGAGGTTCATTTTGTACCTTTGAGTAATTTTTAATCATTTGTCCCTTTCAGCCTTATTTTATCTCTATCACTTTTTTTACTCCTCTTTTGCTTAAAGAAAGGGAAAAAAGGCTACTGTCTCATATTAGAAGGGTATTCCTAAAAGGAACACCATTTTAGAAACCTCTGAATGAAAAAATAATTCAAGATGAGTAATGTATTTCTAATACAGCATAGTAGCACAAAATATAAGCCTAAATAACAAAATATGCTTCTACAACCTTGAAATAGCCTCTTCAGCTCAAGAACTTGAATGCTACCAACACTTCAGTGAATAACTCTAGGTTACCCTTTTATATGTAAGCTTCATTAAGGTCTTGTTTTCTTTGAAGGGCTTTACTTAATTTTCCATGAAGAGCTTTGAATGGATGCTTCTTAAGCTTATTTAAGTTGGCAGTATTTTGTTTTCAAAGTTCAAACTTTATTTTCTATGTCTTCTTAGACACTTGAAACTGTACAGCTCAAAGTCTTTCAATTAGACAGACATAAGACAGCTTGATTTTCTCCACCAATGTCTCCCATACTATGTGAATAGATTCTCAGTGCATAAAACCTTCAAGGTATATATTAAATTGGCCAGTCATGTAATTGTTTCATACATACTGTTTTAATATCCCAAAAATAAAAATAATAAAAGTATAGTTGCATATTTTTGGTTAATCTACTGGGGGAAGATGACAGGCCTGATCTACTTGGGGAAGATAATGTGATCACTTGCTTGGCAAAGACTGATGACCCCTCTGCTTTGTGCCAGTCTGTACAGAAAGAATACTAACCTGAAGAATGTGGTCCCTACCCTCAGAAATCTTACAGTCTAAAGAAAAAGACATTAAATAAATCACCTTGTAACCACATACATAAATGCAAACTGTGTTAAATGCTACAAAAGAAACAACAGGGTACCCAACTTAGACTGGGGTAGAGGTTTCAGTTATTTAATTGTAGAACTGGGCCCTGACAGGTAGAGAACTGGGCCCTAAGGGTGAAGGCACATTCCAGAAAGAAGATCTAGCATGTGCAAAGGCCACAGTCTCCACTGGTCTGGTGCAGGTGTGGGTGAATGGGCACCGACCGGAGTGGTAACAAAGGGGATGGAGACAAAAAAGCAGATAAGAATGTATCTGACACAGAAGTGACAGGCTCTAGAGTCAGCACTGAGAGAGCACAGAACAACACAGAAAAATTGGGAGAACATGACCTTTCACTTGAAACACAGGACACCAAACAATGTACGATTCCACTAAGTCAAAAGAAAAATACAGATGTGAGAAGCTGGCAGAAGCCTATGCTGTAATGTGACATGAGTTTTATACCTGTAAAACTACTTCTCAAAGGAAATGTATTGCTAGATTACAACCTGTCTGACAGATTTGATAACCACTAAAAATGCTGATCAAAATCTTTATACAAACAAACAAAAAAAACAAGATGTAACAAATTTTAAAGCACAAAATATATAATTACAGATACAGCATGATCAAGCCATATATATATATATATATATATTTTTTTTTTTTTTTTTGAGACGGA